AAAAAAAAAAAAAAAAAAAAAAAAAAAAAAAAAAAAAAAAAAAAAAAAAAAAAATTATCTGGCTGCTTGAGCCTGCGCATGCTCTAGAAGTTGGGTCACTAACTTGTAAGTACGCCCAGATAATGACTTCGTGTGGTCGATCAATTGCTCATGCCTGAAAACGAAGCGTGTCAATTTCATATTAACAATTATTACCAGAAGTTCTACAACCTCAAACTAATTGAGCCAAAACTAAGTCCAATTATAAGTTTTGGTCCTTGTAAACTTTCAAAATTTTGAAATTACAAGTTCGAAGGCTAGAGTTTTTCAAATGCCTAGCAGACCCAACCCTGAAAATTCAAGGATCAAAATTTCATTTGACTAAGAAGAACAGTACTCTGTGGCAGTAATCTAAGAGTTGTAAACATTTCACAGACATAGGACGGACTGTGAGCAAGGTTGAGAAAACGAAGGAAATAAACTTACACGTCAGGCTCGTTCGTTTCCATTATAACTGTTCCCGTCTTTGAATCAATCTTCGCATCAAGCTTTGACGTGCGCACGAGATTTACAATCCATCGCTCAGCTTCCTCATAATTCAAGTTCAACTTTTCAGCAAGGACGCTGCCATAAGTTACCAGCACTTGAGATATAACAACGAAATGAACCAAGAAAAGTCACAAGTTACAATGACAGAAGATATACAATAATGGTCAGGAAGTATTGTTTTACCAATACAAATCCTGAGAACTAAGCTTTATACATGAGAGAACCTCATTATTTAGCAGCACTAAAAGAGAGGAATTAGAATCAGATCTGTTATTAAACTGGCTGAAGGCGATCTTACTACAAGCTTAGAGTAAAACCTTTTTTCTTCCCCTTTTGCTCCCATCCAGCCCATTTTCAAGTGATAAGAATGGAGAACAGAGGAGGTAAACACAAACAAGAAACAAAGATGAGCTTCTCAAATTAGATATCTTAAAACTCATCTACAGTTCTAATCAATACAATTTGTATGATATAAATTTTAAATGCCCAATGAATATTGTTGACACCCGTTTGCAAATTTAAGCTCCCAAAAAAAGTAAAAAGGAGAGTGTTGTAAACTCGTAGAGTAGAAACCACAGACAAGTTTAAAAATGCTGAGAAGGTAAGCCAAAGGTCTTTTCTCTTGATTACGCAGCTAGCGTTACTATTTGTCAGTTTCCACGATGGTCACAGAAAATGTGTAGATATACAAGCATGTTATTTGTTCAGTGCACGTTCAATTCTATCATCATGATTTTTTACCCTCCAAAATCTTGCTTGATATACACTTTTCTATCGTACACAAGCAAAGAGTATCATTATTCACCTGATAAATAGCTATCAGTAGATAACAAATTTTAAGAGAGAATGAACAAGTACGCACCTCATATCAATACGCTGATGTATTCTGCAGAAAGTCTCAAAGACGAACAGACGAGCAGTTTCCAAAAACTCATCTCTCAAAGGAACGGTGGAAAGGTTTCCTTCTTCAAGCCTCTTTCCTAGGAAAGGATCGTTCAATATAACCTACATCGAGGACAAGTGGTAAATTATGCCTTGAAAACACAACAGAATTTTAAGAATTGACAGCATTTATCGTTCATGACCAGCTAAGACTTAGTAACCAAACCGTCCGAACCCCACCTCTTAAACAATGAACAAAAAGTACCATTGGAAATAAGAATATACTCTCTAATCACTCGTAAAGAAAAGAGAAGCAGGAAACTTACTTCTTCACACTCCCTCATCTTCTTTTGTGCCCCATCGAAATCATAATTGACATACACACAAGTCAAAAACTCTGTGATGGGATCATTATAGGAATATTGTTCTTGCTGAATAACCTTGATAAAATCTTTGAATTGTGGCCTCCGTCTTTTGTTAACAATGAATGCAGTGGCCAGATAGCGTAAAAGATGGGGAGCATTGGTTTGAATGGCATTTAAATACCTACAGAATAGAAAGGTATCACCTCATTAAAACAACAGGGAAAGGCCTGAATTAACTCGTCACTCAGATGGATCCTCTATTCTTAATTTATGTCACAAACTTATTTTCATGTTTTACTGTTAGACATGGGCCCTCATTATGAATATCCACATCCATTATCTCACCTACATAAGGGCATGTTTTTCGTTGTCTTCCATGACCTTATCATGGAGAACATATGAAGCATTATTTTTAAGAGGCTCCAATCAAGCAAAATGAGCCCTAAAGGAATTTTTTTTTAAGAAGATGTCTCCACATAATTAAGAATTGCAGATAATTAACTAATCAAAACAGGGAAGAGTACTTCTACATGTATTATCAATAAAAAGTAGTGAAAACAGGCAAGACCCAGTAGACTTACTTATCTTGATTAAACAGGTCAATTATCTGTGTTCTTCCATTCTCGTGATTGAAAAATATGAAGAGGCTCCAATGCATCAACCATATTCTGCCTTGCACTTGTTTCATCGGTGATGAGAAATTCTTGATTAGGCATCACAAGAAAGAAAGTCAGTAGAGCGATGGCATATATTGTACACACAAATAAAAAGAGCTAGATAGATCACCCCACCTTAGAGTCGATAATCTCTTTCAAACGATTAAGCTCCTCAACAGCAATATCCCAATTCTGCATTAAAATTTCAGCTGCCAATTTTCCCCATAGAGCACTCAGGCTCCTTTCACTGTCTGTGCATAAGGCTCTGTACTGATAGAGATAGTCAGCAGCACCAGAGTAGTTCCCACACTCGAACTGAAATTTGGCATATTGGTATAACGCTTCTATTTGATCTGGACCAATCTG